AAAAAAATATATATATATACCAGGTGTAGGTGTATGCGCCCATGATCCTGAGAGAATGGAGGAGAAGGAACTGTGGCGTGGCCATCTCCCCTGGTGTGATTTCTCACTTTCTGTCTTTCTGGCAAGTGCACACGCCCTACAGCAAAAATCTCTTAAAAAAAAAAAAAAAGAGGCTAATTGTCTTTCTTCATAAAATTCACCACCTTTGTGTAAGTCTCCATCAGCCCACCTGAATTAGAGTCCCACTGAACTTATGGGCTCAAGAAAATGTCTGGACACTGGCCTCTCCTCAGCACCCTCTGAGTCCTGTTAATTTGTGTGTGTGTGAGATACTTTTTGCTCTAGGGCGCGTGCGCTCGCCAGAGAGACAGACAGAGAGACAGACAGCGAGAAATCACCCCCAGGAGGGATGGCCTCGCCACAACGCCTTCTCCATTCTCCTTTCGGGATCTTGGGCACGCACACACACGCACCCAGCATGAGTTTAAGCCACTGGGTCCGGGACTCGAACCGCGTTCGACTACATGGAAGTCCAGCGACATAGCCATTAAGCTAACTGCTGGTCCCCGAGTCCTGTTAATTCTATCTTCTGTTTTTCAAACCCGACTTTCCCTCCATTTTCACTGCTGTTGTCTTGTTCCTATCCCTCAGTATCTTTCTCCTACACCAGGGAACGATGGTGACTCACACCCCCCACCAAACTTTCAACTTGAGGAGGGACAGGTTTTCTTCCTCGTCCAGTGGTCCCAGTCTTCTCCCACAGTACTGCCGGCATCATGCTTTCATGTCTTTGGAATGAAGAATAAACGGAGGCCCTGTGAAGTATGATTGCATAACAATCCATTATTTTAACCTAAAACGGTATCAGAAATATAATTAATCCCAATGGTTTATTTTGTTGGTAGAAAAAAAAACAGAGAGAGAGAGAGACGGTACTTTAGAAATAGAAGCCACTGTAGTCTTTATAAAACACAGACTTGTGCTGCTGTTGCTTGCTTCAGAAGGAACTGTACATTACAGCTGCTGGGATAACTTCACAATGGACTGGATAAGGTACAGCTCAAAGCGGGTCACAAACACAAGTCTCCAAGGGAAACGGATGCAAACAAGTACACAGCTGTGGGGCGCCAGGGACATTTCCCCATCCATGCTGGACTTGAGAGGGATTAAAAAGTTTAGAAACTAAAGTGAAACCCAGAGTAGTCACACATGCCCACCACATGGTCGCTAAGTGCAACATCACACACTGTCAGGCTGGACTGTGTGTGCAGGGCAGTCATTTCATTGTTTTCCTTATTGCTACTACACCAGGGGGCTCAGTGCCTTGGACACATTGTCTTTTCTTGCACAGTTCTTGGAGAGTTTCCTAGTTTCCTTTTAAAGGAAATCGGCCTTCCCCACCTCTTTCTGATTTGTTTTGAGCCCATTCCTTCCACTCCCTTTCGTGGGCTCCCAAACAGCAGCCAGAGGTTCGAAGTGGCAGGAGCAGAGTTAAGGGGACAGCACCAACCCAGCCTCTCTCCCTGCCCAGGGAGAAGGCAAGTCCTAGTAAGTGGAGGGGAAGAGGAAACCAGAGACCCCTCCTCCCCAGTCTGCTTAGAAGGCCAAACAGGA